TCATAAAAATGTCTAATGGCAGCCTTTAAGAACGACACTAAAAATCCTGAACTTCAAAATATCTATAACCTTGTTAAAAAATTAAAGAACAGACGACCAACCAACCATCAACTCAGCTTAGAGATATCTAATAGGAAACAAGGGAAATATATGCAACTCATTATAGTTATATGGATCGAATTCGTTATATTTTCACTTTCGTTCATAACATTTGAAAAAAAAGCTGACAAGTCCTTGTGCAAGTTATTTAAAACATACGTGACCTACAGTGTCTCAAACTTAAATTTTGTTAATGAGCATATTATTTGATTTCAGTAGAAATTGTCGTTTTCACAGGTGAAAAAAAATCATTGGACGATAAAACGTTAACTATTTTATTAATAATGAATGTTTTACCGCTTTTTTGTGCAAGATAAGGGGGATAGCGCATGGGAATACTTTCCCTTGTCGCTTGATATTCCAAGGTTAAAAAATTCAAACACAATTATAGATTGACCTTTATTAAGCCTCTCAAATGTTGAAATAAATGATATTGCACAAAGAAAACAGAGAAGATGTAAGAACCGCAGACGTTGAAAATGGCTTCAAGGCAGAGGTGCCACTATACCAGTATACAGTCTTAAATTCGGATCTGGTTCGAGACCCACGTTACTCAGGGTTTGGTCGATAGAACTAAGTTTTCTCCTTTGATGAGAATTTAAAACCAGGTCCAGTGTAAATTTCTGATTTGTGTGCACTCCCCCCCCCCCCCCCCAGCAGTCCTTGACACCACGACGAGGTCGCCGGACCAAAAATATTAATTTGCATATCCAAATACAGTAATTTTGATTGCAAATCCCTATATTATGGTCTAAAAGCAGATATTTGGGCAATAATAAGCCATAAAAACCCCATGAACCCTAATACCAAAGATTTGTATTCTCAGACCATAGATGGGTCTCTAGTCGGCCACTTCGTTCGGACCCCCTTGTCGGACACCCTGTCGGCAAATTTCTGGATCCACCAGTGTATACATAGTACTATAGTCAGCTGCACACGTGATGGGGGAATGCACTTATTACAAACCAATCATGGAGAACTGTTTTATACTGGTTTATGATGAATGCATACCTAACTCGAACCTTCTATTATGCGATCACTAACATAAAATAAGTACAGTATACAAATTCATTATATTCAGTCTTACCATAAACGCCACGCCATGCAACTTCTTTCCTTGGTGTAATGTTGCATTAAATGGTCAATGTTCAATACTATATTGATTAAATGATAACTGATTCTATATATAACACATTTTCTATATATAGGAAAGTCTAAATATAGTAATAGGCTTATGCTATATATAGATTCCATTTAACGAGATATAACACATTTTTACTATATTTAGACGATCGTATCAATAATTACCGTATATGATAACAGCATTTGATCAGTAAAAGGATACAATGCTGCTTGGCATTTTGATCAGTCAAGTGTTTTGAAAGTTTAGTTAGACATTTATTTCTAAACGTATACAGTTGCATTTCTCTTGTATACCGATGTACATTTCATATAGCCCTATCTTATATCTTTATGGTAGAAGTGTACGTCATGCTTACAGTAGGCTTACAACCACATCGGTATGTCGGCAAGGCATTGCCAATTCTAATTGGTGGCCGTATAGTTACGTAAGCCAATGCCGCGTGGCAGCGCGAGAACAATCATGGTAAAATGTGGCATTATACGATCGAATAATCGAAGACATGATAAAATACCAAAGGTTAGAAGGGGCTTAGAAGTAAAACGGTATGCAATAGAACAATTAATACACAGGTCTAACCTACGCAATTAACCAAGAAGCAGAGTTTGTTACGGACAACTTCACATGTCAGGTGTAGATGGAAATTGATTCGGTGTGACATAAAAAGTTGACATGCTTTTAGAATTATCACTGTTTTGGAAGTAAAGCTCAGCTCATGGTGATATATCAAACATCAAATATATATCCAAAAGTTTGAGGTCTTGTATCGATATACTATAAAATAGCGTAATTAGAATGATGGACGACGTTTTAGGTTGTTTTAAATCTGGCATATAAAATAAATCTTTAAAGTTCATCATCGACACATTACCCCCATTTAATACGCGTCAGGAGGGCAACGAAATGAATATCAAGCCATTCTTATTCATAGGCCTAGTTATTTACGACGCGCATTACATATTGGTGGTGTAACCTTTGGAAAGAAACCATTAAGAAATTGTTACTATAATTTACTATGGTTTGATTTGGCTTAGGCCTATAATTTGTCAAATAAAAATTAAAAAATATAAACCAATAAAAAGCAAACATTAAAGTTGCCGGACTTTTGTTCACATTTTGTTATAATAACCCTGGCAAAACTCTTCCGAATACCTTGATTAAGACCATGCCAACAAGAGATTCTTTATTGGCATGGTCAAATTAATTACCGTACGGTTTACCGCAGAAAGTTTAGCCATGGTTTAGCTAATGAAACACCCATTTTCCAGCAAAATCAATTGGCCTGTATTATGATTAACTAGGTCAACAACATTAGGTTTATCAGCAACAGTTATTTTGCAACAGCAATAAGAATAAGCCTATAGTTCCTAAAAAAAACATGAAAAATTATTATTTAGCTGGTCTAATCAATAATACAGTGGTACTTTTTAGCGGGTGTCATACTACAAGCCCAGGCCATCATGAGAGTCCGACTTGAAGCATGCAATATTCAAGTCGATAGCCTAATTTAGTATAAATTACTTAAATAGTTTGTATAAATTCTTGAAGTTGAAGAAAATAAATAATAATTTGAGGAAATGTTTATGTTCCGCCTAAAACTGAGACTTAGGCCCCTAATTAAATTACGGGGCATCACAGTTAAATACTTTGAACATAAATGTTGTTTAATTTTTTTTCAGCGTTCATGATGTCAAACATATGTTATAGAAAAGCTTAAACTACATTAAAAGTTTACTACAAACGTCTTTACCTATTTGGGTACACGGTGTAGTGAAATCAGAAGTGATACAACTGGTGACAGCGGATGCTATAGAGGAAGAGGTACTTAGTTACAATGTACTAGCTGGAAACGTTACGTTGAGGGCGGAAGCCAATTGTACTGAACAGTATTGGTAGACTCAACCAACTTAGTAATCAAGGTGGGATGCATGATCTGTCACAAGTACAAATTACTTCTCTATGTCAATTTCACTTCGTAATTCGTGGTATAGATTATTTGTGAGATACGAGCATAGCGCATGCCCAAATCAGAGAGGGGTCACCTGCGAATCGACTTGAACATATTTATGAACATTTCTAGTTAAATTTCAAGAAAATCTGAACTTACATTATTGTAAGTATAATCTCTACCACTAAAATTACTTCGTGAAATGATGATCAAACTTCGAATAGGTAAGTTCTTGTTTAATCTTGACATTTTAAGCCATGCACTACAATGGTTAAAAAAATAGGCTCCCATGTGCGGAAGCGTGTATCTACTGCTTGACTTATTTTTTTGACTACTTTTAACTCATAACTCATACGGTAACCCATAACGCTTTCTGTGTTGGTAATTCACCTGAATAACTGTACAAGTAACAGATTGTCGACTTTTTATTTATTTCTATGACAGGTCTCTCAGGCATGGCATCATATTTCGTAGGTATACATTTGGGAGACTTCATTTCTATCTTTAACTTATGACACATCCCATCATTCCTCCAACCGGATTTACTCTCACAACTTACAGGACGTGGGACGAGCTAAGTGTCTACAGCCCCATGTGGGCAGTACACACAACAATCAGCAATTGTGATGATAAATTGATAATTATGACAATGACGATCATTTTGATGACGGTGAGGATGATGATTATGTTGACGATGATGTTGATGATGATGACAATGACCACGACAATGATGATGATCATGATGACGTTGTTGATGAAGATGATGATGGTGACGACGACACGACGATGTTAGTTCTCATTCACCATCATCGTCGTCGTCGTATTGCAAGCATCGTCATCATTGTTATCATCATATGACGACGATGGATGTGAAGATGATGATCATATAAAAAAACAGACACAACAGTGATAATTATATTTAATTTTTCTTGTTGGTGTCTATGGCTTTTAAAAACTATACAGAAACATTATATTCACTACAAAGGGAAAGAGATTCACAATTCCGAAATCGGAAATAATCAAACTCGCCCGCTTATAGATGTCAATCCAACGACTGTCCCGTAGGAAAGTAATTGTCAACAGAGGTCATGGGAACTCTTTTTAAAAAAAGTTATTTATGTCACTGGTGTCATCAAAATCTTAGGATTTGGATTGTGAGTTAGTGTATGCAAATGATCTAATAAGGAGCGAATGCAAAATTAGGCCTAACAATAGTAATAGAAATAACAATAAAAGTACTAACAATAACAACAATATTTTAAATCATAATTTCAATAATATTACAGGGGGTAATAATAATGATAACTAATAATAATACCGTAATAATAAATTCATTAGCGTAACTTAATTCCAATCGATTTTATTCGGCTGCGAAACATGATTTAGGGGCGCATTTTAGGGGCTATTATCCACAGGCCGACATTACAATGTAATGGGACAATTTTATATATAACCTTTTCAATAAGTAAGCCTATAATGAACATACACATACATACAAAATCAATGATGTCATAGAAATGGAGTAGCCGATCATATAGTTTGATATCGAGGGCCTAATTGTTTTTCCAATCTTGCGACAGGGGATCAATAATGTGACCTAAAGTCGCGCCTAATTCTCCCTCTGGGTGTACGGTAATTCGACCAATGCTAGAGCGCAAAAACAAAAGTTGCTCGCGTTCTATGCACCAAATATATTTTGTCTGTTCGAAGATCTGATCGTCCCCCAAAAAAGAAAATTCAAGAAATACTGAAACAACAGATTTTGTTATTAACAAAATATTTATTCAATATACTTCATGTTTGATGCTCATGGGGAAGTTTGGATCACGTAGCATCTGTGTTGACGTAACCTTCTTGAACTCGGATAGGCAGTGGCAAGAGGGAAAATACCACAGGCAAACATACTAGCAACACGCTGTACGCATACATGTGCATTTATGTACACACGTGTCATACACAGACGATACTCCTGCGGGCTGACGTAGCACTTTCAGTAACCGAAAGTGGTGCGCCCGGTCAATCATCTACTGCAATTTAACATTGCTATTCAAACAAACGCCACTGTCAATATTGGAAGATGGCCGTTCGAATGTTTGGTCACGTGGATTAAACTAATAATTAGTCCCGGTACCCTGCTAACACGTAAGTGATAATGTTGTTCTTTACTTTGGCCTACAGTAGTATTAACAATGCATTAGGTAAAATTAAAGTACAGTAAGCCTATGAAAAGGAGATTTCCTGGTTGAAAATGAAGAAAATTAGAATAGAACTGCATGTTGCTAGGTGATTAAGAAACTTGCCTTCGAATCACAGGGTACAGGGGCGTATCCAGAATGAAGGGGAGGACAGCAGTTTCAGATAGATAAGTGAGTAGCACATAACATTGATAGGCCTATGCGTTGACATTTAAAAATTTAGTGGTAAAGTAAGGGGGACACGTACCCCGTGCCCCTACTGGATCTGCCCCTGGGGTATTAGGTTCAAACCCTGCTAACACCATAACGTATGTACACTCTATAAGCTTCGAGACTATCAGAGAGCATTGCTGGACTAATTTCTTTCTTCATACTATTATTAAGTGTTATGGAAAAATGTTTCATTAGAGCAAATAGAAAAATGGAAATTCTGAGCACTTCGAAAAAAAAAATCAACGTTCTGTGATTACTGGTCAGTGGCGGTACGAGCGTCTGAAATCTGGGGGTGGGGGACTCCTCATAAAATTTTAGGGGGGTGCATTATGCTGTGGTGGCCCGGAGTGGGCGTGGTCGGCCGTCACTCAAAATGTCTTGAAAGTGGTCCAGGGGCGAAGACCCCCGAAAAATATGACAATTTAGGGGTTTCAGAGGCTTATTTAATCGATTTTATATATAGGCTAGTTTACTAATATGTAGAAAATACATAGGCTTATAATTTTTCCCCTTATCATTTTATAAAATTCCCCCTTGTCCCCGCCATGCACTGTTATTGGTTATGAAGACCCTATATTTTTAGCCCTAATTTGCATATTTAAACTAATTTGCATATGAATTAAGCATGTGACCAACACGCGATTTTCGGAATTTGAACACATCATTATATGTGTTCATTTAGAGAGAGAAAAAGAAAACATTTGTTTGCAATTTGCTTTATTAAACATATTATGTAAACCAAAAACTATTTTAACCTCAATTTGACCTCAAATGACCTTAAATGACCTCTAAAAAAGTTGCCATGACATTCAAAAGTCAGTTTGATGACCTTGACTTTGAGTTCTCGGAAGCATTTCAAATTTAACTTTGCCGAGCCCCTTTGAACATTATTAATGTCTACCGGCGCTATATAAATGCATTTGATTGATTGATTGACTCATGAACCTAACATATCGTAGATCAGTTTTGGTGTTATTTTATGCTTAACTTTATATTTGACTTGCATACCGCAGCACTCGTTACTTACTCGCTGTTGGATGAGAATGGTATTTTAAAAATAGCGCCAATAGGGAGTAGGCCTATTGAATTTAGCCAATATTGTTTAAAGGAGAGCAGCATTTAACGATTATATATAAAGATGGAGGAGCGAATGGTAAAAAAAAAAGTGCCGACTGTGAGACACAAATACTTAGCACAGGTTACGTTTATTATATGTTGCCGATAAACTAAACTAGAAAAAGGAGATTCAATATAGGTATACCGGTATCGTAAATTTAAACGTCTGTTCTATTCGCTCCTATTAATTTTGGCTCTGGCCGTAAAATCACTACACCACTATCAAACGTTGTCTCTCAATTGTTGATTCACAACCGTTTAACCCACCACTGACGACCGTTAGTGCAGTACGCTATTGAACTGTTACCCGTTAGTTCAGCTATGGAGGAATAACATCATTTTTATTTTATTTTATTCCATCATAGTTTAGCACACTATTGGTTAACCACTGTTCACCATTGGCACGTCACTGCTAACCGTTATGACGCCATTGGTTTACAACTATTAACCGTTGCCACACCACTGCTAACGATTAGTGCACTAGTACAGCACGCCATTTTTTACTTTGGTAATCAGTTTATCACTACCGATACGTAATGCCATCTGTTGATAAAACATTGCTTTACAATAATTTGGACATTAATACTGTGGTGAACTGAAACACACTATTTTATTTTATTTTTTTACAATTGGCGTCACTGTCAATAATTGTTAATGTAACATTTCGTTGGTTTAGAACTGTTACCGGTTATTCACCATATAGTTGATATTCACCACTAGTTGGTAATGTTTACCACTTTTAATGAGTAGGCCTTAGTTCAATTTTCGTAAAACTCTTATCACGGTGCTCATTACTATATGTAAGTTATAAGCCTAACCGTTTTACGCCGACCGATATGAACCACTGACGCTCCATTATCCACCCTTTAAATTGTCGGCTACTCATCATTTATATAGGATTTGTGATTAAACTTTTGATAGGTACATATCAAGAACATTTCAAAATGTGACCTGATCAACTACTATTCACACGATAAAAATGCTATATGTAAGACACTGACTATATATGCTCGAGTCGTAGTACTGTAATGGATTATATTGGAATTTTGCACGAAATTTTACGTGTTCTTTTGATTGACAGACTTAAAGGCAACTTTTACATTTAAATCTCGGATTAATTTAATAACTGTGTTTACGAGGTGCTCTTTGTTTATTCAACCGGATTTTGATATAAATAGATTCATATTTTTACCAACACGCCAAAAATGTAATTCTAGTTAGGGCTGCGCCTCTCGTTTCTTGTGTGGTCAAAAAGAATTTGTTCGTGCTTCAAATCTAACGGAACGGATTATTAAACAGATTACGGTACTTTTACAATCACGGAACGCTATCAAAAATATACATTGTCAAGTTTGAAGTAAAAAAATAATGTTTGAGAATTTATCCAATATATCAAAGGCTACCGGTACACTCTGTTAACACTTCAACATCATGGAATGGTATTAGGCTTATCATTCATAGGCCAAAATAGGCTGACCGTAATTATTTTCGACAAAAATGACAAGATCGCCCACTACTAAGGTGATAAAATATTATAACCGGAGAATAAAAGTCATAAATTAGGCCCATATAAACAATCCTATGCAATTTTCTTTGGTATGTTAACCAAAAAATGTTTAGTATTTTGCTTATTATAATTCCACAGTAATGTTAACATTATTAGTTGACGCGTTGACATACTTTCGTTGAAATTACCACTGGACATAAATCTTGGATGTGTCGGTATGTGGGGGTATATACAGGTACGGTATGCCTACCGGGCCTATTGGACGCTGTAACCCGATTTTGTGGTTAAGAGTATTTCGTAGCTTACGTCGCACTATGCATGGGGTATTGGTGTCATGGTGGTGGCACCACCATCTCTGATTTCTTTCTGTACATGCGTAGGTGTGGCTTCGTGAAATCAAATGTTATACTTTGTTATCACGCAATACTTGGCCTATAACAACTAGGCCTATAGGTCTAATAACTGTACCGTAGTCATGGATTCATGGGTACTTGAAGATACATTTCATATAGGCCTATATCTTTATAACTCTAATTAGTCTGAGAAAAACAATTCTGTCAATGATAGGCCAAAACTTAGGGCGGCAATAAACAATAACAGTTCCTGGTTACTTGTTAAGCTTCTTGCTAGCTGGAATTAAAACATTACAGTAGTTCCTTTACGGGGTTTATACGTGACAGAATGTAAATAGCGTCATTATGACACATTTGATGAAGACGAATGGGCCGGAATTTAAAAAAATCATTAAAACTGGTATGGGTCCATGTGGACGCCACATCGCACGGCTTTAGTGTTGCACCTTGTGGCATAAACCGTTTAAACCAAGGAAGGCCATAATATAAAGACTAAAGCGTCTATCTAAACGTAAAAACGTCCACGTCGCGTTTTAAGCACAATTAGTCGCATGTACATTGTACAACAACAATACGTTTTAACTTTTCTATGTAACCGCAACAGGATGCCATAATTGAACTCGAAGGCAAATATCTGTACTTATAGAAGGACTACCAGTGATTGAGGTTAAGGTAAAATCAAATGCAAAATATTGGGCTTTATGCTTTCACCAAGCGGGAAGCGATCGACAAAAAAAAAAAAAAAAAAAAAAAAACAGAACAAAACAAAACAAAAAAAACTCGGGCTATTAAGAAGTGGCTTAATTTAAGTATTGCTTTTTGTACTAGGCATTTAAGAACATCATCGACCATCCTACGATTACACTGTCAATCATTATTACATAGAAGTGGTTTGATATTTACGAAGCTTGAGTAAAACGTGTAATTAAGTAGCGATAATACTCTACGGTCAATCCGGGCGCTGTCAAATGTAACAGAGGCTTTATCAAGGGATCGCTGATTAATGAGGGATCAGGCTGAACCTACCAACAGAAAGGGGAAAAAGAACAAAAGGTTCAACTTAAGTTCAGATGTAAACATATTATTTTCCCCTTTTGCTTAATAAACCTTCAGCCTATCATACAGTGAATAGGTCCACCTCTCCACTTTGCAACAAAAAGATACAACGTATACTGTATTTATATTAATTATTTATATAAGTTACATTACCGGTACCGTTACAATATTTTACAATATTATGGCACTAAAAAGGCTTTCAATTTTTTCACCAAACATCGACGTTTATTACATAAAAACAAACTGCATGAACAGAAAAAAAAATCAGGGAAATTATAACTAATGGAATGTGTATTTTTAATGAAAACCAATTGAAATGGACGGATGGATTTATTCGGTGTAAAAACCAAGGATACCTAACCCACGAGAGTTTGAAGAAGACTTATTTCCAGTGGGCCCTCCTGGTAGTGATTGGGTTGTACACCGGGATATAATCCCCTACAGTGTTCTTTAACGAGCACATGGGTCATAATACACATGGGACCAACGTCTAAACGTCTCGTCCCAAAGGCAGTACAATATCGTAACTTGCATTTCAGCCCTCCAGCTGAAACACAAAGAGAGCAGAGATGGGAATTGAACCGACCTGCTCCACGGTTTAGCGCACACACGGGCTACCACCAGTTTAGCCGACTGAGCTTCGTTTTCAATGACCATGGCAAGGAGTTTTTTTTTTTTTTTTTTTTTTTTTTTTATAAATCA